AAGCAGTCTTTAAAAGCCATATCATATGTCATTATAATAGTGTATAACATGTAGACCTATAGACCTAAGAAACCCTATATATATATGGGGGGGGTTGGGTCAGCACATGCCCCTCAAAAGGTCTGTGCACGGCCCTGTACTTGAAGGTTAAGTATGTTATGAGCTATTAATAAAAGGCCATTGAGGTCTTTTCGATGCCAAACAGAATATGAGGGTTAAAGATATTTTATTTAAAGGAATGCAAAAAACATCCAGGCTTTGTGAAATGCAGAAAGTGCTCAGTTCAGCATATTATAAGGCACAGAGCACCTCTGCCTCTTTATCTCAGAATAACACCAAGGTGGGTCTTTAAGACAGCAAAAAAAGTGTAATACACCTCAGAAAAGATACGAGATACAAGTGTTATTTTTATCGTTGGTGCTTGCGACTTGGTGTGGGTTGTTTAACCCGAGTTAACTTAAAAACCGGCACTGATGCCCTTTGAAACCATGGATAAACGTTCAGTCACAGCACACTAAATACACGGCTTTGAAAACAGAATCAGCTGCATTTAGTATTTCTGCTGTTTGTGTGATAGCACACTGTGTTACTGGTGAGAAAAGCAAGCGTTATATAATACATACCGTCTAATGCTCACCGATGACATGCACATTCCACTTGAATTATGAATGTCAATTGAGTTGTTTGTGTTTGCTGACTGTTCTGCATTTCTATTTTGTCTCGTTTCTCTGTTTCTCTCTGCAGAGATTCGAGAGGCATTCCGAGTTCTAGATAGGGATGGGAACGGATTCATCTCGAAGCAGGAGCTGGGTATAGCCATGCGCTCTCTGGGGTACATGCCCAGTGAGGTGGAGCTGGCTATTATCATGCAAAGACTGGACATGGACGGTTAGTCAGTCTCTTTCTACATCTCCCTTATTCTCAGGTTCATTCTGAGATAGCACCTTTCACACAAACAAAAAGAAATGTCTGTCTTCTAATCATCTGTGAAAACAGCTTTACAATCTGTCACAGACCCATTCCGATCCTTGCACTGGACAGATGATATTCTGAACAGTTCATGCTACAGCAATCATAGAATTGAACAATTTATCCAGCTCAGGGGGACTGTAAATACACCAGCAAGCGAGGTGAATTCTAAAAAAACGGCATCTTACTGTGTGTGTGTGTGTGTGTGTGTGTGTGTGTGTGCGTGTCCAGCTCCAAGGGTCCCTCAAGGTCAGGTCACTGTTGACTAAACGGTTTGAGAACATGCATTGATTTAGTTCATCAATCTGCCTGGAAGGTTGTAGCTCTTCTTGATCCCGCACATTTTGTGCAAGTAGGGCAGTTACAGATGTTGAATGAAACTCACACTGTGGGTCTAGGAAGATCTTTTACACCTCATAATATGAATTTTGTTAGTTTAAGATCAGTGTTGTTACATCCATTCTAAGATACAGCAAAATAAAATGTCATTTCAAAATATATTTTACCTCAAAAACTTCAGTTCTAAGCATAGTTATAAATAACTAGTTGGGCTACATCTCAAGATTTTGACTCTTAATCATAAAGGTCTTCTTTAGTGCTGCCCATAACCTTGGTACCGAATGCAGATACGAATGCACCACTTTACTGTATTTCATTAATAAATATTTTAAGATTCAGCGGTAGAGTAAAGACGAGGTTCCCTTTCATGGGAACTTCGAACTGCGTCCTCTAGGGGTCGCTAGCAGCACAGTGGGAACATTAGCATGATAACAGCTCTCTCTGACTTATCACTTTAAATTCCACTGTCACTCTCAGCTGGTGTTGCCTTTCATACATCTCAGACCAGTGATTTTTTTAACAAACTTTAAACAAAAAAAATTTTTTTTTGAAAGAGAAAGATTATGCAGGCCATAATAATAATGTTCACATGCCAATATTTTCTGTTTTTTTAAAAAGATGTGCAAGTGTAAGGTCAGGAGCATGCACCTTAGGAGATAATAATATTCAGTTTAACTTTAAATTGTAATAATTGTAATTGTAAATATTTATTAAAAGGTATTACCAGCTGCAAGCTGATCTGAATTTTAATTTGTCTGGCACATGATATTTGCTTTATTGAATTAAACTGCATAGCAAACCAGTGGTGAATGAAATGTGAAAAAAATATCATTGTCAGTTTCAGATGTAATGGTTAGATCAAGTCAATTTAAATATTTCAAATCTGTATCTTATTACTTAGTTTCATTTAGCTGACCAGTAAAAAAAACTGCATAATAAAGCAATCAGCAAAGCAGTGCAGATCTTATTAAATTAAAATAGTATCTGAGACTGGATGTAAATTACTGATCCCTGAAGGGCAATTAATAATTATATACTGTTCTGTTCTATTCTTTAACTGATTTTAAGAACTTTAATCAGCTGTTCTGATCAGGTGGCAGGTGCAAGGTAAAAAGCTTCCAGTGACAAGCAATGAAAACCTCTGTGCAATGTGACAAATTTTCAACCAGTCAGAATATATTTAATTGTTATATTTAGCTGATTGTTTTAAAATGTGTTGCTTTTTAAAGGGGTCATATGATGCTGCTAAAAAGAACATTATTTTGTGTATTTGGTGTAATGAAATGTGTTTATGCGGTTTAAAGTTAAAAAAACACATTATTTTCCACATACTGTACATTATTGTTTCTCCTCTATGCCCCACCTTTTTGAAACACGTCGATTTTTACAAAGCTCATCGGTCTGAAAAACTCATTAGCGCTGTTATTTAGTTGAGCTTTTCCATCAATTCCATGCATTACAATTTGAGATTGAAATGTAAAGTCTGAATTTGGTTTACGAATCAAATGCATTTATTCTATATTTGACTTTTGAACTATATGAGCACGTATCTATCAGGTGATTGCTGCCCAGTATGTCTGCATTCGACAACATAAAAAACATGACAGCTATCAGGTTATTTTACTAAAGATAATGATGGAGTGGAAGTTGCTGGAACAGCAAGTGAACCGGGCACACGGAGCAGATAAAAACAGTGTCATCGTCCACACAGATTTTAGGTTAGTCTTTTTGGGTCAAAATGACCCGAGGAACGGATAAGGGTTTTAAACTATACATGGACATTAAGCAGCGCGCAGAATTATTGTTGGTAAATGCGTGCGTTAAGGCAGTTTCAGCCTGATACGCGCATCGCGCACCTGCTGGTACAGCGCCTGACTAAACTGGTTAAAAGTTATTTTTCGTGCCTTGTGCTTTGTGCTTAAAATACACATAGTTATGTGTCAAAATGCCCGTCTTTGCGAGTATACTCGTAAACACAGTTATCAGTTATTTAAATGAATGTTAATAGTTAAAGATAAAGCATGTGTTAGGCTATATGAGAACATAAAAGAAGATATTTTGAAGAATGATCGTAACCAGTTTCTGGTCCCAACTGACTCCAATAGTGTTTTTTTTTCTTTCTTTTTTTTCTTCTCATATATGGAAGTAGTGAGGGCCCAGCAACTGTTTGATTACCAATATTGTTCCAAATATTCCAAATATAGTTCAACAGCATGAAGGAATCTCATACAGGTTTAGAACACCAGCAGAATTTTCATTTTTGTCATTTTTGGAACGCAGCCTAATATAGCTGCTGTTACCATTTGTGTCAATAACGTAAATCAAACATCAGAAAGAAAATTACTTGCTGTCCTTGACTGAATCACTTTTGTAAAATAAATAAGAATGAATGTATATTGAATCTATACAGTGAAGACTATTCAGTCTATTTACAATATATTCATTATTCAGTGCTTTAAGTTTTTCAAGTAGGCCGTTTTTTATGATCTTTGTTCTGTTGTAGCCTAATTTGTGACTGTTTACTTGTCTTCAGTAAGCTTATTTTTACTTAGGCTAGTATTATTTTTTATTGATATTGAAATTG